CCCCCTCACCTCCTTTGCCCCCTTCTCTGGGCTCCTGACTCTTTCTGCAGCCTTTCCACTGCTACTCCTTGGCTCCTCCTTACTGCTGTCTTTCTGCCACACCCCTGATCTTCTGGTAGGAAAGATCTACACCTAGCCTTCTCGGACAATGGCTAAAAATCTCGGAGGGCCCGTGTGCAAGTTGCGCACGTTAAAGATCCCTTGGTGGTCTAAAATCGATAGGCTTCGGCCGCCACCCGGGCAAAATTCAAAAATTCCTACCAACTGAAAATATTAGGAGTGTCCCGCGCGCTCATATGACCTATGCAGTTGCGAGCGCCGTAAAACACTATACAAAAACAAAAAAAAACAAACTATGTTAGTCATAAAACTTTGGCAGCCATTTTCTCGCTAATTTTACCTCTGAAATCAGACGACCCTACCTCCTCTAACTGCGAAAATCTTGATAACTATTAAAGGAAGATGAATGGGGTTTTATTCCATCAAAAGCAAGACAATTTAACAAGTTTTAACACTGTGCATTCACACAGCCAGCAGTACAAAATACCTCATTTGGTAACCCAACCAGGAGAGTGATTGCAACGGACTTTTCGGGCCTGGCTGCAGCCAGGTGACCGGAACAGCAAAATTTTGTTTAGGTGATACCAACAACTCCACATGCCAAAAATTGACGAGTGCCTGATTCCACGGCGGCATCGTAACACATAATATTATACAGGGCCGAGCCAAATGCAGAAGAGAGCACCGGAGGACAACTCAAACTAAGTATGCTCAAAGAACGCTCGTCGGAGATTTTTACCAGAGTCACCCGCGCTATATAGTTCAGTGTAAAGCTAACTGGGCGATTGGCGCCTTCGCAGCAAATGGACCTTCTAGGAAAGTTGGAAAGCCTATTTTTCCTTTCGAGTCTCTTTCTTTTTCTCCTCATTAGTCCATTTTTTTCTCGCTCTTTCTCCCCCTTTATATAAATAGATAGATAGATAGATAGATAGATAGATAGATAGATAGATAGATATATAGATTTATATATATATTATATATATATATTTGTCTCTGTCTCTGTCTGCCTGTCTGTCTGTCTGTCTGTCTGTCTGTCTGTCTGTCTGTCTATCGGTCTCTCTCTCTCTCTCTCTCTCTCTCTCTCTCTCTCTCTCTCACACACACACACACACACACACACTCACACAGACACACAAACAAGTACACACAGAAACACACTTCGACCCCAACATCCACACCCACACCTACACACACTCAAAAATCCAACCTGGAGATATCATCTCTGACTCAGAGGTTGACCTGTGATGACCCTCCATCCTTCAGGGTCGTGAGCTGCCGTTGCACACTCTGCTATATCCAAGCCAGTCCATGTTTTCATTGATATTGTCCGTCAATGTTACTCTTTGTCTTCCTCTGACTCTCCTGCCCCACATCCTTTCTGTATCACAAAAGTCTGATGTCGACACCCTCACACACACACACACACACACACACACACACACACACACACACACACACACACACACACACACACACACACACACACACACTCACACACACACGCACTTACACAAGCACACAGAGATCCCCAACACCAACACCCACACCCCACCACCACACCCACAACAACATATTCACATACACACACACACACACTAAAAAACACAAACGTTCCAGTACTGTACGTCGTGTTTTATTATCGTATCCATACGACGTGGAGAACTCTGTTCCACCACTTTCCAAAGTGGCAATTTACTCGTTAATCCTATCCGTACCCTTTGCATAGCAGTCTGTCAAAATGATTTTTTGAGAAACACTGAAAGCTTCTAAGAGATCTTCGTACTAGAAGTATAGTATTCTAAAATGTGAAGAATACCACAACGGGGGTACACAATGACCCCAGGGCGTACGAATAGGGTTAAGCATCACGATCATCCTTCATTCCCTCTCAAAACAGATTGCAACGAGCTGAAGAACGCCGGCATCCAGTACTCGGGCATCTACCCCATCCAGATCCCAAGTGGCGCCATCGTCAACGTGTTCTGTGACATGGAGACTGAGGGCGGGGGATGGACGGTGGTACAACAGAGGGCCAACGGGCTGGTCAACTTCACCAGGAAATGGGACGACTACACTTTTGGGTGAGGTCTCGAGAATCTTATACCCGCTTTTACCCCCATGGGGCTCCAGTGGTTAAGTAAGCACTGAGGTCACACTCAAGTAATATCAAGCAAGTGTCGGTGACACGGGGTTTTGATGGGTGGTCACTGGGGTGTGTCCTTGAGCAAGACACGACAACCCTAGTTCAGACATCAGGGCGCTGCACAGTGGCGACCAGCAATGGTAAGGTTGGGTAATTGTTTTGTACTGGAGTAACACAGTGTATTTATGTATGTATTTGTGCGTGTATTTATGTATGTATGTATTCATAATCATGTATGTATGTATGTTTGCCATTGTAAACCAAATTGCCCTTCTGAGATCAATAAAAAGTGTAATTAATTTTAAAAATCATTATTAGATCTGTGTACACATTAGTTGATGCATTCCAAGCTATTGGACGGCTCCTACAATCACGACACGGCCATGCGTAACTGCCTATACTTCTCATTACGTAAACGATACCCCCCCCCAAAAAAAGCC